AAAATAACAATAATAACAATATACCTGCATGTTTACCCTTTTTTTCGTTCCCTTGTGTGATTCGGCGGACTACGAGTTTATTCCGCTTTAAAAAGCGAACTGTCCACGACAAGAAAGCACAGTGCGTCCTTGATACACTGCATCGAATTTGCCAATCATCATTATGATGCACTTTGTCGTTACGCATAAACCCTTTGTTTGTTGCAGTAGCATGATACCAGTCAAGCAAACTAAACGATTAGTAAAGTACATATTACAATTATCGTGTCATCCACAGATATGAATTTGAAAATTGATGAAATGTTACCTTTGTTTGAGCTCAGGATGGCGAATATAGCCCTTTTTGCCTGGAGATGATGGTGCAAAGAACTTGTTAGGCGCTTTTGCAGCAGCCACCTTTAACTTTGTAGTGTCTCTGCGCCATCTCTAAATATTGCCGCGCGTGACGCGAAAGAGAGCGGCGGCTTCTACCGCTGATTGCGCAGCAAGAGCACCCTGGAACAAGGAGTTAGATAATATATTTAAGAAGAGGAGGAGGAGGTATACCTTGTACTTCTCCTTATTCTTATTCTTCGGTCTGCGTGACTTACTGAGCGTTTTAAGCTGAGAGGCGGGAGTCATTTGCGCGCTTCTAGAAAACCTAAACGAGGTTTTATTTTTGACTTGATAAGGACCAATTATTTGTGTCTCACTCGATCCGACAAATACGGTATTGTGCAGCCGTGCTGTCAACTTGTGCGTCAGCAACATTCAATTGGTTGCTATCCTCGCGCGGCGGTTATCCCGTATTGCAATCCTAACCCAAGCACTCTCTTCATTTTTTTATCAATCCGAACAGGGCACTAAAACACGGTAGTGACTATACACTGTCATACCAACTCATAGCGCACCTGCGTAACAAACCTCTACTTTTCGCGCTACCGCATCATGGTAATTTGTCACAGGTATCCGAATCTAAGTGTAGTTGATCTGTGTAGTGCTCCCGTAATGATTTTAGTATGTTTTCGGCGCGTATGTACACATATCGACGGAAAATACCGCCCACATGAAAATCAGTAAACATGAGCCAAAAATAATCGGAAACGCGGCAACGCACTCGTGCCGAAATCTAAGTGGGCATTGATCAATATTTTTCCCAAAAACTATAAAGGAAACTCAAAAAAAGAAACCAGATTTTTTTATTAGGTACTTGCATAGGAAGTGGTTTTGAAAACCTACTACATATCCTGAGATAGCACCCCACACAGCAATTGTTCTCTGGATTATCGTCGTTCTCTACTCTGCGGCAGATGGCTTTCAGTGACATGTTTGAGTAGCCAGTGCGACGGTAGCTTTGCAGTGAGTGAACCCATCACGCCTACGTCTTGGAGTTGGTAAACGGACGTAAATTTCGCAGGCAAGTGCACCAACGACGCGAACAGCTCTCGTTCCGCAACATCCTCCAACTTGCACGATACATGGCAATGCCACGTAATGACGGGCGTGTCGCTCGTTGACTGCAACGAAAGTTGACAAATTGGATCTCCGTGTGGTGAACGC